TGCGGGTGACCCACATACTAAAAAATAGAGGGAGATTGGCATGGATGTTAGCTCAGGGCAAAAAAGAAACCAAAGGGATATCTACAGTGATTGGATCCTCTAAGAAGGATGTTAACATTGAGTTAACAAATGAAGAAGGGTCAAACGTCCTCCTGCTTTTCCCTTCTACAGATTTTGAAATCAAACCATTATGTAGATAGGCTTATTTCATCCTTGTCTCAGTCTTAATTTTATTACTATTTTACTGTACTTTGCAGATAAAATTATTTTTTAATTGCCGACAGGTGATGTTTGTTGAATTCTGTGCTAAGTGCTATACTTGGATTTTATTTAATAGTCACAGCACCTCTATGAGGTAGGCATTATCCCATTTTACACATGAGAAAACCATGGCTTAGAGAGACTAAGTAACTTGCTCTAGGTTATACAGTAAGTGGGGAGCTAGAATTAAAGCCCAGGCATTTTGACAACAGCACCTCTTTCTTTTTTTCTTCTGTTAGTCTGGAAATTATGCACACTTTTAATTTTTCAGTTATCACCTTCTGAAATTCTAATTAGACAGTCTCGATATTTTCCTCTTTCATCTTGTCTATTCTTTGTTTCTCAAAGGGCTAGGTCATTTCTTTTTTAATTTTTCCTTGTTTGCTTTTTTCTTTTTTTTTTCTATTAAGACTTTATTTTTTTAGAGCAGTTTAAGGTTCACAGCAAAGTTGAGAAGGTACAGAGATTTCCCGTATACCCTTTGCCCCCACACATGTACAGCCTCCCCCATTATCAATATCCCCCTCCAGAGTGGGACATTTGTTACAATTGATGAACCTACCTGGACACATCATAATTACCCTAAGTCCATAGTTTACATTAGGGTTCACTCTTGCTGTTATACATTCTGTGGGTTTTGACAAATGTATAATGACATGTGTCTGTCTTATGATATCATACAAAGTATTCTCACTGCCCTAAAAATCCTCTGTGCTCTGCCTATTCATCTCTCCCTACTTGCTAATCCCTGGCAACCACTAATCTTTATACTATATCCATAGTTTTGGTTTTTCTAGAATGTCATATAGTTGGAATCATACAGTATGTAGCCTTTTCAGATTAGTGATGATTTCTTCAGATCTACCTTTTAGTTCATTGATTCTCTCTTAAAATGGGTCTAATCTGCTAGTGAATCGATTTTTAACTTTTTTTACTCTTAAAGTTATTAAAAAAAATAATAAAAGCTATTGAATTTTTCACTTCTAGAAATTATTTTTTTCTTTAAATTTGCCTGGTCGTTTTTTAGTTTCTTGTTCCTTTATCCCACTTCTGAGCCCATTTTTTATTTCTTTAAATTTATTAAACATATTCATTATCTGATAATTCCAGTATCTACAATTTTTGTGAATCTGATTCAGCATTTATTTGTTTCCTCAGATTCACACTCTTGGTAGCTTGTGATTTTAGTGTTTTTTTGCTGTGAACATATGTTTTTGGGTTTTTATCTATGGCAATCCTTTGAGGACTCTGTTTGAATTGAGTTATTCCAGAGTGTATTTGCTTTTGCTTTTGCCATGCATCTGGGACCAGCTTCACTAGCATTCTGGTACCACTTAAAACTAAATTTTTGTCTTGGGTTTTTCATGCCCTAAACTCTTAGGACCTTCGGTGTGGTTTTGATCTAATCTTTTACCCTGTTTGGACCCAGAGCAACTGCCCTTGAAAGTGCAAGCTTCAAGTCTCTTGGAGTTGGTGGTTTTTCTCAGGTGAATGTCCTCCTTGTCTTGCACTTCTGCCGATCTTGATTTGCACTGGCCCTTACAGGTCCACAATTCCTTATCTGCAATTCAGAAATCTAGAAAACTTGGACTCTCACAGTTTATTTTTAAAATAAACAAAACTTGAACTAGTATGAACTTATTGCACAAGTATGAATGTGTTTTGATTATGGGGTATTGTTCCCCCATGCTGCTGAGGTATTAGTATGGTATATGTAAACATAGTGCATTACCTCTGTAAAAACTCCCAAAATTCTGAGCTCTAAAATATTGCCCCAAAGGTTTCAGATAAGGGAACTGCCTGTACTTGTTCCTGCCTCTCACTGCTTCCCTTACTTGACCACAAGCTCTGATGTACTTTTAAAAAGCATTTTGGGAGAATTCAGTATTGGGAAGAGGTTTTTTGAACATCTAGTCTGACCTGTGTCTGGAAATGAAAGTCCAAAGTCTGTTTCTTTAATTGTAATACACTTTATTGTTTTTGGAAACTGTCTTTGTTTTGGTGGTAATTTATTTCAATAAAAAACAGAAACAGCAGTGGAGTCATTAAAAGAGCACTAGATTTTCTTTTATTTTTCATTATTTTTAAAATTTATATGGGATAAATTTGACCTTTTTTGATATATACTTGTATGAATTTTAACACTTTTATAGATTCCTGTAACATTTATCACAGTCAGGATAAAGAACAGTTCTGTCACCTTTGTAGTTAAACTCTCCTCTAACCCAACACTTGGCAACCACTGATCCATTCTCTGTCTCTGTAGTTTTGCCTTTTCTGGAGTGCCATATAAGTGAATTTATACAGTATGTAGCCTTTGAGATTGGCTTCTTTCACTCAGCATAATGGCTTTGAAGTTCATCCATGTTGTTGTTTCTGTCAATAGTTCATTGCCTTTTATTGCTAAGTAGAATTCCGTTGTATGGAGGTACTGTCCATTCACTTGTTGAAGGACATTTGGATTGTTTCCAGCTGTTGAAGATTATGAATAAAGCTATTATAAACATTTATGTACAGGTTTTTGAGTGGTCAAAGTTTTTATTTCTCTCAGGCAAATACCTAGTAGTGGGTTTGCTGGATTATGTGCTAAGTGTGTGTTTAATTATGTAAGAAACTGTTAGACTGTTTTGCAGAGTGGCTGTACCATTTTGCAATATATGAGTGTTCTAGTTGCTTCATTTCCTTGCCAGCAGTTGGTATAATCAGTGTTTTGTTTATTTGTTTTTTTTTTTAAGCCATTCTAGTAGATGTGTAGTGGTATCTCATTGTGGTTTTACTTTGCATTTCCCTAATGGCTAATATTGAATGTTTTTTCATGTGCATATTTCCCATCTGTATATCTTCTTTGGTGAATTATTCAAATCTGTCCCCGTATTTTATTGGATTGTCTGTTTTGTTGAATTTTGAGAGTTCTTTATATGTTCTGAACTTAAGATCTTTATTGGCTATGTCATTTGCAAATGTTTTCTCCTAGTTTATAGCTTGACTTTCTATTCTATTAACAGTGTCTTTTTTGATGAAGTTTAGGACTTTTTTGATGAAGTTTAATTTATCAAATTTTTTTCTTTTATAGATTGTGCTTTTTGGAGTCATACCTAAGAGCTCTTTGCCTAATCAAAGGTCATGAACATTTTATCCTATGTTTTTTTCTAAAAATATTATGGTTCTATACTTTACATTTAGATATATGATCTATTTTGAGTTAATATTGTATAAGTTGTGAGGGTCAGGTAAAGTTTTATTTTGTTTTTTATTTTTGCTTATGGATACCCAATTGTTCCAACACCATTAATTGAACAAAGTACTTTTACTCTCTTGAATTGCCTTTGCACCTTGGCCATATTAGTGTAGGTCTATTTGTGGACTCTGTTCTTTTCCATTGATGTGTGTGTTTATTCTTTCGTCAGTACCACACTGTCTTGATTACTGTAGCTTTATAGTAAGTCTTAAAATTGGATAGTGTGAGTCCTTTAAGTTTGTTCTTTCTTTTTCAAAATTTTGTCTATTCTAGTTTTTTTCCCATAAAATTTTAGATTCTATGTTGTCTTTATCTACAAGAAACCCTACTGGAATTTTTGTTGAAATTGCATTCAATGTATAGATCAATTTGGGGAGAATTTATGTCTTAACCATATCTAGTCTTAAAATCCATGGACATACTGTGTCTCTTCTTTTACTTATGTCTTTGATTTCTTTCATCAGCATTGTATAGTTTTCAGCATGCAGATCCTTCACATGTTTTGTTAGACTTATATCTAAATATTTCTTTTTTGGTACTGTTGTGAATGGTATTTTAAAAAATGTTTGTTTCAGGGCTGGCCTGGTGGCGTAGCGGTTAAGTTCGCATGCTCTGCTTCGGCGGCCCGGGGTTTGTGGGTTCGGATCCCGGGCGCAGACTGACACGCCACTTGTCAGGCCATGCTGTGGCAGCATCCCATATAAAGTAGAGGAAGATGGGCATGGATGTTAGCCCAGGGCCAATCTTCCTCAGCAAAAAAAGAGGAGGATTGGCAGATGTTAGCACAGGGCTGATCTCACAAAAAAAAAAAAAAAATTTATTTCTAATTTTTCATTGCTTGTATATAGAAGAAATATGATTGACTTTTATATGTTGACTTGCTATCCTGTAACCTTACTAAACTCACTTATTATTTCTGGGATCTTTTTTTTAGATTGCTTGGGATTTTCTACATAGATATTCATGTTATCTGTGGATAGGGACAGTGTTATTTCTTCCTTTCCAATCCGTATTCTTTCTTTTTCTCTTGCTTTATTGCACTAGCTAGGACTTTCTGTACTGTGTTGATTAGGAGTGGTGAGAATGGATATTCTTGTCTTGTTCATGATCTTAGAGGAAAAATATTCAGTCTTTCACCGTAAAGTATGAAGTTGGCTGTGAGTTTTTTATAAATGCCCTTTATCAGGTTGATGAAGTTTCCTTCTCTTAATGGTTTACTGAGAGCTGTTGTTGTTTGTATCAATTCAGGTCTTGAATTTTGTCAGATGTTTTTTCTGTGTCATTTGATATGACCATGTGGTTTTCTTCCTTTTCTCTGTTAATATGATGGATTACGTCGATTGATTTTTTAAATGTTGAATAAGTTTGCATTCCCTGGGTAAGCCCTTTTTGGTTGTGGTGTATAGTCGTGTGTTGCTTAACAACGGGGATAAGTTCTGAGAAATGTGTCATTTGGTGATCTTGTCATTGTGCGAACACAATAGAGTGCACTTATGCAAACCTAGATGGTATAGCCTACTACACATCTAGGCTATATGGTACTGATCTTATGGGACCACCATTGTGTGTGTGGTCTGTTGTTGAAACTTTGTTATGGTCTGTAGCTTGCTTTCTTCTTCTTTTTTTTCTTTTTTGTGAGGAAGATTAGCCCTGAGCTAACATCCATTGCCAATCTCCCTCTTTTTGCTGAGGAAGGTTGGCCCTGGGCTAACATCCATGCCCATCTTCCTCTACTTTATATGAGATGCCACCACAGCATGGCCTGACGAGCAGTGCATGTGTCTGCACCCAGGATCTGAACCTGCGAACCCCGGGCCGCCACAGCGGAGGGTGCGCTCTTAACCGCTTGCGCCACCGGGCAGGCCCCCCCAAAATTTTTTTTTCTTTTTTGTGAGGAAGATTAGCCCTGAGCTAACATCCAATACCAATCCTCCTCTTTTTTTGCTGAGGAAGATTGGCCCTGGGCTAACATCCATGCCCATCTTCCTCTACTTTATATGGGATGCTGCCACAGCATGGCCTGACAAGTGGTGTGTCAGTCTGCGCCTGGGATCCAAACCCACAAACCCCAGGCCGCCGAAGCAGAGCATGCGAACTTAACCGCTTTATCTTTTGACCTACCTTTATCATTGTTTTTAAAGTGAGTTTCTTGTAGGTAGCATGTAATTGGGTCATGTTTTTTTGTCCATTCTGACAGTCTTTTTTTGTTGGTAAATTTATTTATTTCAGTGTAAGTTTTAGTGTAATTATTTACATTAGATGTGATTATTACAATGTGATTATTTACATTATTTAATATAACAAATGGAATTATTAAAATGTTTAGATTTGGATCTACTATTTTGTGATTTTGTTTGTTCTCTCTGTTTCCCATTCCTTGGTTTCCTATTTTCTGCTTTCTTTTGGATTATTTGAATTTTTTTAGAATTTATCTGTTGAATTCTTGATTATATCTCTTTGCGTAGATTTTTTAGTGGTTTTGCTAGAGATTACAATGTACATACTTTTCACAGTCTACTTCAAATTAATATTTTATCACTTCAAGTGGAATGTGGAAACCTTACCACCCTATAGTTCCCTTAACTTCCCACTTACACGTTGCAGTTGTCATCTACATATGTTGAAAACTCCATCAGTGTTACAAATTTTGCTTTCAACTGTCATACATATTTTAAAGAACTTAAGAAAAATTGTCTGTTATAGTTAAACCAAATATTTGCTATATCTGTTGCTGTTCCTTCATTCCTGAAGTTCTGTTATCATTTCTGTTACCATTTCACTAGTGTCTCAAGAATTTCCTTTAGCATTTCATTTAGAGCAGTTCTGCTCTTAAAGAATTCTCAGTTATCCTCCATCTGAGAATCTCTTTATTTTGCTTCTTCTTGAAGTAATTTTCACTTGATAGAGAATTGTAGGTTGATAGTTTCTTTTCTTTTACCACTTTAAAAATGTTGCACTGCCTCTGGCCTCCATGGTATCTGGTGAGAAATCTGCAGTCTTGGAATCATTATTACTTTATATTTAACATGTTTTGTGTAGTTGCTTTCAAGATATTTTCCCTGTCTTTAGTGTTCAGCAGTTTGATTATAGTGAATGGACACGGATGTTTTTTAATTTTTTCTATTTGAGGTTCGTTGAACTTCTTGATTTTATAAGTTTGATTTTTTTTGCCATATTGGGGGGTGTTTTCAGCCATTGTTTCTTCAGATATTTTCTTGGCACTGTATTTTTTTCCTTTCGCCTGAGAATTTAAGGAACCAAATGTTATACCTTTGTTATTGTCCTGCAGGTCCCCAAGGCTCAATTTACTTTTTTCTAATTTTTTTTCTGTTGTTCAGCTTGGAAAATCTATTCGTCTGTCTCCAAATTGACTGATTCTTTCCTGTGTCTTTTCCATTGTGCTTTGAGTCTTGCTGAATTTTAAGTTTTGGTTACTATGTTTTTAGTTGAAAAATTTCCATTTGTTTCTTTTTTGCATCTTCTGTTTCTCTGTGGAGGCATTCTTTCCATTTGTTTCAGGAGTGTTTGACCTTCTTGGAGCATGTTTCTTTAAAAGAAAAATCTTTGTTTTATAATTCTAGCATACATGTCATCTTGATTGTCTTTTCCCTCGTGAGATAATGGGATTTTATGGTTCTTTGTATGACAATTAATTTTGGATTGTATCCTGAACAGTTTGACTTATATGATTGTGGGTGATGTTTAAATCTGTAGAAAATGTGAAATTTTTGCTTTAGCAAGCAGTTAACCTAGTTAGGTTCAGGCTACAAGTTCCAACTAGCATTCTGTAGGCTATAGTTCAGAGTAAGTTCAGTTTTGGATCTTACCTGCATATATGCCTTCTGGTGTCCAGTCTGGGACCTGGCCAGTAGACAGGTCATAGTTTAGTTCTCAAACCCTTTGTTATGCTCTTACAGTCAGGTCCGTGCATGCCCAGCTCATGGGTGAGCCCAAGAGCATACACACCACTTTATAAGCTTTCATGAACTCCCTTCTTACGGCAGTCTTGCTGATACTTTCTGCCTCCTAGGGACCCGGACTTCCTGGAGGTCTGGCTAGAAAGCTAGGGCTTTAGTTTCCTCACACTTCAGCACACTTCCCACAATTATGTCAGCCTCTGTGGCCGAGCGGCAAGAGGATAGAGGATAAAAGAAATAGGAATTCTCTCCTTCCTGTTGGGACTACAGTTTCTCTGTCAAAGAATAGAGCTTTTGGAGCTTTGCGAGCCTGCCTGGATGCTGCCGCCATTGCTAAGATTGCTACTCTGGTATTGCCTGGGGAATGAGACTGGAGTGAAAGGGAGAAAACAAAAAAGCACAAGGGGATTTCCCCCACTCTCTGTTATCCAGAGGAGCCTCCGTTCCTGCTCCTTAGACCAGAAATTGTGGGCTTCTCTGGAGCTTTGTCTTTGTGCGTCTGGTATGCACTTTCAGCTTTTTAGTCCAGGCTAGGAGACACTGGAGAAACAAAAAGTAGGAAACTTGCCTCTGGTATGGCCGTATTTCGAGTTCTGGTTTCCTTTCTCCACCTGCCTGCTACCATCTATGTTTCCAGGTCCTTGGATACATTTGTCCATTGTTTTTAGTTGCATTCTGTGGGAGGGATAGGGTGGATTATGCTTATTTCATCTTGACATACTTCTTAGGATTTCAAATCAATTCAAAGGATGATATTTTCTATATATTTTGCTTTTTTCCCCTTAAAAATGCAAATACATTAGGAAGATATAGGTTTAACGCCTGACTGTGGTGGTTCCTATCATAATTATTTTCATTGTATTAAACCGAGTTACAAAAGGTGGCCACATATTAACACCTCTTATATTAGTATTTAAAACTTTTCTGGAGCCTAGAAATTCCTATTCCCCTCCTCCTGGTTCTAGCTCCCATTTTTCATAAAAGGTGGAAAGCCTGTTTCTTGAATGAACCTTGTTTTTGGATTTGTGTATGTTGCTCAGGTGGCCTAGGATTTTCTGAATATATCCTTGTAACTCCTTTTACCAATGAAGGGATTTGTTATGGCCTACTGCTTTTGTAACTAAAGATCGATATTGAGAACTCAAAAGCAGCATGCAGTCTCTTTTCAGTAACTTCTTTAGGATATTCTGATGTTTTGTACTTCCATTTATTTATTTATTTATTGTGTGTGAGGAAGATCAGCCCTGAGCTACCATCCATGCTAACCCTCCTCTTTTTTTTTGCTGAGGAAGACCAGCTCTGAGCTAACATCTATTGCCAGTCTTCCTCCTTTTTTTTTTTCCCCCAAAGCCCCAGTAGATAGTTGTATGTCATAGCTGCACATCCTTCTAGTTGCTGTATGTGGGATGCAGCCTCAGCATGGCCGGAGAAGTGGTGTGTTGGTGTGCGCCTGGGATCCGAACCTGGGCCGCCAGCAGCAGAGCGCACGCACCCAACTGCTAAGCCACGGGGCCGGCCCCTGTACTTCCATTTAAATTGAGACTGAGTTTGGTTTTAGGATCTTTTTTGTGTTTGTGTGTGAGGAAGATCAGCCCTGAGCTAACATCCATGCTAATCCTCCTCTTTTTGCTGAGGAAGACTGGCTCTGAGCTAACATGTATTGCCAATCCTCCTCCTTTTTTTTTTTTTTGCCCCCAAAGCCCTAGTAGATAGTTGTACGTCCTAGTTGCACATCCTTCTAGTTGCTGTATGTGGGACGCGGCCTCAGCATGGCCGGAGAAACAGTGCGTTGGTGCACGCCCGGGATCCGAACCCGGGCCGCCAGCAGTGGAGCGTGTGCACTTAACCGCTAAGCCATAGGGCCGGCCCTGGTTTTAGGATCTTTAGACAAAGAGGTAGAGGTTAACAAAATAATTTCTTCCGAGCTGACTTTGATAAATGTATTAATTTTGCATTTTGCTAATACAACTTCTTAATAGCCACTTAGCTGGCTGACTAATGCCTAGTCTTTTAGGAATAGGCTTGCATGTTTCTTGTGCTGGAGCCCCACATCCCTTTATTATCTTCTCTGCTTTAAGCTGTCTTTATCACAAGACATCTTCCCTCTGACTTCCTGACTTCACATTTTTTATAAAGATGCTAATAATTAAAAATAATAGGAAAAATGTGGTAATATGTGAGGTAGATTCATTCTTTCAACAGATACTTGTGATAAATTTATTCTTTCAACAAATATTTATTAAGTGCCTGTTATATAATGCCGGGTTCTGTACTAGATACCAAGGATGAAGATGTAAATGACATAGCCACAGGCTGGGTGTTCAGAAAAATTTTTGTTCATTGCATAAAGTTTATAGTCTGAAGAATTTATTTTATTATTTAAACTTTTATCTTTTATTTAAACTTTTAATTGTTCATATTTAAGTCTCTTACTTATGTGCCCTGAAACGATCTTATCACAGCTTTGTCTTCAAAATTGGTGATTTAATGAAATGCCTTTGTATCTTGGTTACGTGAAAGTCTTGGTAAAATTCTAGATATATTTGTACCATCTCATGGAGTCAATTGATATTTTGTGCTTTGAGGTTTATTGTGGTTAAGGATTAGTTTCAGTTAAAAGACAAGTTCCAAGCCATTTAAAGAGTTTAAAACTAAACTGAGTAGTGTGCTTTTAAACATCACTCAAATAGCTGAAGGAAAATATTTTATTTCCAATAATCTGGTTTCACAGATTCCTAAAAGGTATGTTTTTAAAAAAAAAAAAAACAGATGGGGGCTGGCCCCGTGGCTTAGCGGTTAAGTGTGCGCGCTCCGCTACTGGCGGCCCGGGTTCGGATCCCGGGCGCGCACCGACGCCCCGCTTCTCCAGCCATGCTGAGGCCACGTCCCACATACAGCAACTAGAGGGATGTGTAACTATGACATACAACTATCTACTGGGGCTTTGGGGAAACCAAAAAAGGAGGAGGATTGGCAATAGATGTTAGCTCAGAGCCAGTCTTCCTCAGCAGAAAGAGGAGGATTAGCATGGATGTTAGCTCAGGGCTGATCTTCCTCACACAAAAAAAAAAACAAGAAAAAAAACAGATGTTTTAAGCAATTTATGTGTTCCTTTGTTCTTTTATTAAAGACTTTTTTAGAAATTGAATCAAAGCATTTATTTTAGCTCAGTATTTATTGAGTTAAAAAATGTTTAATTTATTAAAATCTTTAATATATATTAATGTCCTTTTACTCTTAAATGAATGAAAACTGAGTTTTCTGCATCCAAGAGAAAGGTGTAACCTCATTTTCTGTTTCTGAAATGAAACATAGTTAATGTTTTATTTAAGGGTATCAAGACTTTCAGTGAATTCAGTCCCCTAGGAAATAAATGTGCATTAGTATCTATCTAAGTTCTTACAGCATGTGTCTGAGATTGGCACCTGCTTTTAGTTAGTAGAAAAGCAAGAATTTAGAAACAACAGGGTTCTGATTTTTAGGCTTTTTGACAGACATTTTCTGCAAAACCAATATCTTTGTTCTGATTAGCAATTTGCTCATAGTGGCTATACGATAAATGTTTGTTGACAGAATGGAATTAGCTTGGGTTATTTTAGATCTGGTTAAAGACAAAACAGTCCCTCCAGATCTTCACAATTGATACCTTGCATCAAGGCCCTGGGTTGTAGAGAGGATTGATTCACAAACAAGTACATCTCCCTTCCCCTAAACATATCTTTTTATGACTCTGTATAATAGACAGTACTGGCCGTGAAGTCAGAGCTGAGCTTTAGTCCTAAGTCTGGCACTTTCTTTTTTTCTATGAATTCTTTTTAATTTTTAATTTTTTTTTATTATGGTAGGGAGAGAGACATGAACTCTACTCTCTCAACAAATTTTTAAGTGTATAGTACAATATTGTTAACTATACGTACAGTATTCTGTAGCAGATCTCTAGAACTTACTCATCGTGCATAACTGAAACTTTTTATACCTGTTAACAGTAGCCCTCTCTTTCTCCCTCCTTCCAGCCCTGGCAACTGCCATTCTGTTTTCTGCTTCTATGAGTTTGACTGTTTTAAATACTACGTATAAGTGGAATCATGCAGTATTTGTCCTTCTGTGACTGGCTTTCTCTTAGCATAATGTCCTCAAGGTTCATCCATGTTTAATCACTTATGGCAGGATTTCCTTCTTTTTGTGGCTGAACAGTATTCTGTTGTATGTCTATACCACATTTTGTTTATCCATTCGTCCATCGATGGACATTTGGTTGTTTTCATATCTTGGTTATTGTGAATAATGCTACAATGAAATGGGAGTGCAAATAATCTCTTCAAGATGCTGATTTCAGTTCCTTTGGATAAATACCCAGAAGTGGCATTGCTGGATTATATAGTAATTCTGTTTTTAATTTTTTTGAGGAACCTCCATACTGTTTTCCATAATAACTACACCATTTTACATTCCCACCAACAGAATGCAAGGGCTCCAATTTATCCATATCCCAACTACACTTGCTAACTTTTTTTTTTTTAAATAATGGCCACCCTAACAGATGTGAGATGGTATCTCATTGTGATTCTGTTCATTGGTCTGTATGTCTGTCTTAATGTGAGTACCATACTGTTTTCATTACTGTAGCTTTATAATATATTTTGAAATCAGGAAGTATGATGCCTCCAGCTTTGTTCTTCTCTCTCAAGATTGTTTTGGCTATTAGAGTCCTTTGTGGTTCTATGTGAATTTTAAGATTGTTTTTTCTATTTCTGTAAAAAATAACCATTTTGATAGAGGTTGCATTGAATCTGTAGATTGCTTTGGGTGGTATTGACATCTTGACAGTATTAAGTCTTCCAATTCATGAACACAAGATGTCTTTCCATTTATTTCTGTCTACTTTAATTTCTTTCAGCATTGTGTTGCAGTTTTCAGGGTACAAATCTTTCACTTCCTTGGTTAAATTTATTCCTACATATTTTATTTTATTATTTTATTTTTATTTTATTTTATTTTTTAGTGAGGAAGATCAGCCCTGAGCTAACATCTGCCAATCCTCCTCTTTTTTTGCTGAGGAAGACTGGCCTTGGGCTAACATCCACGCCCATCTTCCTCTACTTTATATGGGACGTCGCCACAGCATGGCTTAACAAGCGGTGTGTCAGTGCGCGCCTGGGATATGAACCGGCGAACCGCGGGCCGCCGCATCAGAGTGCGCACACTTAACCGCTTGTGCCACCGGGCCGGCCCCGATATTTTATTTTTTTTTGATGCTGTTGTAAATGGGATTGTTTTCTTAATTTCTTTTTTGGATAGGATAGTTTGTTGTTAGTTTATAGAAATGCAACTGATTTTTGTATGTTGATTTTGTAACCTGCAGTTCTACTGAATTCATCTATTAGTTCTAACGTTTTTTTTTTGTGGGGTTTTTAGACTTTTCTACATATAAGATCATGCCATCTGTGAATAGAGATAATTTTACTTCTTCTTTTCCAGTTTGGATGCTTTTCTTTTTCTTGCCTAATTGCCTTGGCTAGGACTTCCAGTACTTTGTTGAATAGAAGTGATGAGAGTGGGCATCCTTGCCTTGTTCCTAATCTTAGAGGAAAAGCTTTCAGTTTTTCACCATTGAGTATGATGTTAGATATGAGTTTTTCATATATGGCCTTTATTATGTTCAGGTAATTTCCTTCTATTCCTAGTGTGTTGAGAGTTTTAAATCATGAAAGAGTGTTAAACTTTGTCACATGCTTTTTCTGCATGTATTGAATTGATCATGTGATTTTTATCCTTCATTTTGTTGATGTGGTGTATCTCTCACTTCAACTGATTTTTATATGTTGAACCATCTTTGCACCCCAGGGATGAATTCCACTTGGTCATGGTGTGTAATCCTTTTAATGTACTGTTGAATTCTGCTTGCTACTATTTTGTTGAGGATTTTTGCATCTGTGTTAATCAGGAATATTGTTCTGTAGTTTTCTTGTAATGTCTTTGTCTGGTTTTGGTGTTAGGATAATGCTAGCCTTGTAAAATGAGTTTAGAACTGTTCCTTCCTCTTCATTTTTTGAGAAGAGTTTGAGAAGGATAGGTGTTAATTCTTCTTCAAATGTTTGGTAGAATTCACCGGTGAAGCCATCTGCTCCTGGGCTTTTCTTTCTTGGAGGTTTTTGATTACTGATTTAATCTCGTTACAAGTTATAGATGTGTTCAAATTTTCTATTTCTTAATGATTCAGTTTCAGTAGGTTGTATGTTTCTAAGAATTTATTCATTTCTTCTAGTTTGTTGGCATATACAGTAGTCCCCCCTTATCCACGATTTTACTTTCTGTGATTTCAATTACCCATAGTCAGCTGTGGTCTGAAAATATTAAGTGGAAAATTCCAGAAATAAACAATAAGTTTTAAGTTGTGCAGTGTTCTGAGTAGTGTGATGAAATCTTGCACCATCCCAATTGGGACGTGAATAATCCCTTTGTCTAGCATATCCATGCTGTCTACACTGCTTACCTATTAGTAGCCATTTTGATTATCAGATTGACTCTGGTGCTATCACAGAGCTTGTGTTCAAGTAAGCCTTATTTTGCTTCATAATGGACCCAAAGTATAAGAATAGTGATGCTGGCAATTCAGATATGCCAAAGAGAAACCATAAAGAACTTCCTTTAAGTGAAAAGGTGAAAGTTCTCGACTTAATAAGGAAAGAAAAAAAATCGTATGCTGAGGTTGCTAAGATCTACGGAAACTTTTATTACAGTATATTGTTATAATTGTTCTATTTTATTATTAGTTATCATTGTTAATCTCTTACTATGCCTAATTTATAAATTAAACTTTATCATTTTTATGTATGTATAGAAAAAAACATAGTATATATAGGGTTCAATACTATCTGCGGTTTCAGGCATCCACTGGGAGTCTTGGAATGTATCCCCCGTGGATAAGAGGAGACTACTATATCTAATTTTTGGTGTATAATTGTTTATAATAGTGTCTTATGATCCTTTTATTTCTGTAGCATCAATTGTAATGTGTCCTTTCATTTCTGATTTTATTTGAGTCTTCTCTCTTTTTATCTTAGTCTAGCTAAAGGTTGGTCAATTTTGTTGATCTTTTCAAAGAACAACTAAATTTTGTTGATTTTTCTGTTCTTTATTTCATTTGTTTCTGCTCTAATCTTTATTATTTCCTTCCTTCTGCTGACTTTGAGCTCAGTTTGTTCTTTTTCTAGTTTCTTAAAGTATAAATTAGATTGTTTGAAATCTTCTTTCTTAATGTAAGCATTTATAGCTGTAAACGTCCCTCTTAGTACTACTTTTGCTGCATCCCATACGTTTTGGTATGTTGTATTTTCATTTGTCTCAAGATATTTTTTAATTTCTCTTGATTTCTTCTTTGACCCATTAGTTGTTCAAGAGTATATTGTTTAATTTCCACATATTTGTAAATATTCCAGTTTTCTTTCTGATGTTGATTCTAGTTTCATTCCATTGTGGTCAGAAAAGACACTTGGTGTGGTTTCTGTCTTAAATTTGTTATGACTTGTTTTGTGACCTAACCTGTGATCTGTCCTGGAGGATGAGAAGAATGTGTATTCTGCTGCTGTTGGGTGGAATGTTCTGTATGTGTCTCTAAGGTCCATTTGGTCTTGCTGTTGTTTGAGTCCTTTGTTTCCTTATTGATTTTCTGTCTGGATGTTCTATCCATTATTGAAAGTGAGATATTGAAGTCTTCTACTATTATTATATTGCTGTTTATTTCTTTCTTCATTTTCTTCTTTGTATGTTTAGGTGCTCTGATGTTGGGTGCATATATATTTATAATTGTTATATCTTCTTGGTGGATTGACCCTTGTATCATTATATAATGTCTTTCTTTGTCTCTTGTGACAGTTTTTGACTTAAAGTCTATTTTGTCTGATATAAGTATAGCCCTCTCTGCTCTCTTTTGGTTACTATTTGCATGGAATATCTTTTTCCATCCCTTCACTTTCAGCCTATGTGTGTCCTTGAATCTAAAGTGAGTCCTTCATAGACAGCATATAGTGGGATCTTGATTATTTTTTAAAAAAATCTATTCAACTACTCTTTGTCCTTTGGGGAGTTTAAAACATTTACATTTAAAGTAATTATTGATAGGGTAGGATTTACTATTGTCATCTATTAATTGTTTTCTGAGTGTCTTTTAGTTCTTTTTCCCCTCTTGCTGTCTTCCTTTGTGTTTTCTTTTATGTAGTGACATTCTTTGATTCCTTTCTCATTTTCTTTTGCATATCTTCTATAGGTATTTTCATTGTGGTTACCATGGGGCTTACATAGACAGTCTTACAGCTTTAACAGTCTATTTTAAGCTGATAACTTAACTTCAATTGCATACAAAAACTCTATTCTTTTACTTCTCCTTGGCCCCACCCCCCACCCCAGCACTTTCTTGACTCAAATAAGTCATTTTAATTTTTTGTACATAAATTTTCTTTGCTATAAAAATAGGGATAATAATGTATTCTGCTAACCCAGGGATTCTCAAAGTTTGGTTTGTATACCCATAGAGGGTCCCTGAAAGCTTTTTTAAGGGGCTCCATCTGGTCAAAACTTTTTCCACAATAATTCTAAGATGTTATTTGTCATTTTCACTATGTTGACATTTGTAATGATGGTGCAAAGGCAATTGTGGGAAAACCTGCTGGCACTGGAACAAATTATACTAGTAGTCATTGTATGCTGCCATATACTTCCAGTAAAACTAAGTGCCAGTTTTACTTAAGGATGTCTTTGGAGAAGTAGATAATTAACTTTGTTAAGTCTAAGCCCTTGAGTACATGTCTTTTTAACATGTGTGATGAAATGGAAAGTATGCAGAAGCACTTCTATGTACTGAAGTATACTAATTCTCTTAAGGAAAAGTACGTGTGTAGTTGATTGTTTTTGTGAGCTCAATTAACTGCTTTTTTAATGGAATACCATTTTTATTCAAAAGAATGACTATAGGCAAACAAAGATTAATCACACTTGGGTATTTGGCAGACATTTTCTTAGAAATGAAGTGAGCTTTTCATTTCAAGGAAAATAACTGACAGTATTTGTTGCCCAATGGTAAAATTTAAGCTTTCAAGTGAAAATTAGAATTTTGGAAAACTTGTATTCACCACCACGTGCTTTGACAACTTTAAAGAGTGTTCTGATAAGATCATTGGTGATATTGGGCCGGCCCCGTGGCTTAGCGGTTAAGTGCACGTGCTCCGCTACTGGCGGCCCGGGTTCGGATCCCAGGCGCGCACCGACGCACCACTTCTCCGGCCATGCTGAGGCCGCGTCCCACATACAGCAACTAGAAGGATGTACAGCTATGACATACAACTATCTACTGGGGCTTTGGGGGGAAAATAAATAAATAAATAAAATTATAGATCATTGGTGATATTAATGATGTGATTTCTTTGTTTACACTATATGAGGCAATGTATCAACATTTGGAAGATCTGCATAAGCAGTGAACCAGCGTTTTCCAAAATATTCGAAAATATATGATGTTATAAAATCATTCATTGAGTAAAAGATCCATTAAACATGGGAAATAGACCAGTGGATTTTGATGTAGCAGAATACAGCAAGTTCATTGATATGGTTTCAGATTCTACATTCTAACTAACGTTTAGGAAACTACCACTTGTCAAATTTTGGTGTAGTATCGAAGAATATATCCACAGTTATCTCAAAAAACTATTAAAATACTCCTTTTCCCAACTACATATCTCTGAGGCCAGATTTTCTTAATATATGTATAAAAGAAAACCATTTCTCTATTCACAACACTTCTGACACCAAATGTGTGGGTTTCCCCACACCGATCAATTCTCCAGTTCTCTGTGGACAGTAATTGGGT